TTTACTGTGTTCAGTCACATGTGAATATTTCTATTAGTTTATCGACACGAGGTTGAAACGTAGCATGGTGATGTTGCACGTTGTGTTAAACATAATTGAAATACCGGCACCCTGTCACAGGACACATACGTCCACAAGGGGCCGTTCTGATCAGTATTGTATGTTCAGCGCGAGCTGGTGTCACCGCTCCAGACCGCCTTGGCACAGACAGAATAAGTCTGCGAAGACTGTCCTGTGTATTTCTCCTCTATTCTTCCAGCAATGGCCACATATGCAGCAGATGTTTGTGACGTATGTTGGCGTCGACGTTAATCCTACCGAGTTCATCCTGCACATACTCCATCGGATTCAGATCCGGAGATCAGTTAGGATATGGAAGAATTATTATGGCTCCTTACATCACACTTCCTCCAGATGTCTTAAGGCGCTGGAGAAGACATTTAAGTCGTCACTGGACAGGACACACGTTGCCACAAACGTCTCAATACAGGGACAAATATCGATATTCTTGGTCTAATTCCCAACTCGATGTAGACGATTCATGATTGCTTGGTCCGATACTTGTTCTCAGTCACAGTACAAGTCCTGCAGTCTCGGTGGCAGTAGCGTGTAGATGATATAGACGATGTTTGTGGAAGACCCGGATGTAGCGATCTGAAGCAGGGGTGATGACTCTTGGTTTGCCGAATCTCGGACGATCTCGTGTTGAATAGAGGAGGGTATTCTGATCCCATACACGAGATGTGGTGTTCTGGTGTAAGTTGAAAAGACTTGCAACTGCAGACTTCACTCCCCAGCTTCAAGACGACCTTTGTTGCTTTTGCTTTCTCCCAGTGTAAATATGTAGACAAACATAGAATGTTGACTGACGATCAGTCTTTTATAGTCACTGTCACTGCACATCTTTGTCACAATATGCACCTTCACTTTCTATTTAATTTCGTTTCTATGGCATTTCCGTGCAGTCGTCCTAAAATGCTGTACAAAGGTACAAAAGTGTTAAAATATCACCACAGTGCGATACACCAGGTATCCAACATGTGACTGACATTATTCAACGAAATCAACATTCTTGGTATCTTCTATGCGTTTATGTTTTGAAAAGTGTAATGTTCCTGCTTCTGTTGTGTTCGATATACTTTGTCTGTTCCACTTAGTTCAGACAACAGTATTGTTTCCACTATTTGTTTCAGACAGAGAAATGGTTTATGTTAGAAATCAGCACAGTGACATCTGACATGCCTTCACCTCAAACAGTATATTATGTGTAAAACACACACTTTAATATTGTTTAAATGAACAGATATTGACGGGTTTCTTACTATTTGTATTATGTATTTAATGATGAGATAGTTTGTCTATTTGAACATGCGGAAAACATAGTGTCGTCTGTCCATTTGTCTATGAGTGTTACAGGTAAACATTTTATATGTGCCTTTGTCGCTTAGTCTGTCTATTGCTGCATTTGCCATATAAGTGTTATATTTGAACTGTTAGTCAAACTGTCTCGGTTTTATGTGTGTCCATTTGTCTATCGCTTACAGGTACTCGGTTTTATGTGCTTGTCCATTCTGTCTATTGCTGGCCATTGCCATATAAGTGTTATATTTGAACTGTTAGTCAGTCTGTGTCATTGTCTTTACGTCTCTCCAGTGTTGCCCATTACCTTATTACTTTATAAGTGTTATATTTGAATTTTAGACTGTTAGTCTCTCAGTCTGTCGCATTGTCTTATTACTTTATAAGTGTTATATTTGGACTGTTAGTCAGTCTTGTCTATGAGTGTTACAGGTACTCGGAACTTTATTTGCCGTGTGTCTGTCTATTGCCGTTGTCCAGTCTGTGTCATTGTCTTTAGTCTGTCTATTGCTGGCCATTGCCATATAAACTGTTATCAGTTGTGTCATTGTCTCTACGTCTCTCCAGTGTTGCCCATTACCTTATTACTTTATAAGTGTTATATTTGGACTGTTAGTCAGTCTGTCGCATTGTCTCTACGTCTCTCCAGTGTTGCCCATTACCTTATTACTTTATAAGTGTTATATTTGAACTTTAGTCAGTCTGTATAAGTGTTATATTTATTACTTTTAGTCAGTCTGTCTCATGTTTATAAGTGTTATATTTGGACTGTCTCAGTCATTGTCTCTACGTCTCTCCAGTGTTGCCCATTAGCTTATTACTTTTATATAAGTGTTATATTTGTTGACTGTTAGTCAGTCTGTCTGTCTCATTGTCTCTACGTCTCTCCAGTGTTGCCCATTAGCTTATTACTTTATAAGTGTTATATTTGAACTGTTAGTCAGTCTGTCTCATTGTCTCTACGTCTGTCCAGTGTTGCCCATTACCTTATTACTTTATAAGTGTTATATTTGGACTGTTAGTCAGTCTGTCTCATTGTCTCTACGTCTGTCCAGTGTTGCCCATTACCTTATTACTTTATAAGTGTTATATTTGAACTGTTAGTCAGTCTGTCTCATTGTCTCTACGTCTCTCCAGTGTTGCCTATTACCATCTAAGTGTTATATTTTAACTGTTAGCCTGTGTCATTGTCTCTTCGTCAGTCCATTGTTGTGTGGTATTTTAATTGTTAGTCAGTCTAGTATTCCGGCTGCCTTTGTAAAGGCGACCGTGAGGATGACGTAGCAATTGTCCCGAGGGTGTGCTAAACCCAGCTCACCTAATTTAGGGATTGGCTTCTTTATATTTTTTGTTTGGGTGAATTGGTGTGTTGTCATTTCTATTTCGAAATTGGTAGAAAGGTGGTTGAACACTCCAAAATGTCTTCCTGGATGATTTTGCCGAAAGATGGTGAAACTTCAGGGACTCAAGGCAGGACTGCCCAGGCAATAGACTGACATTTAATCCCAGTAATAAGTGTTGTCATGTAAAGATATATGCGTACAAAGACAAAAACAAAATCCAAAACAGAACACAGAAAGAAATCTCAAGACCTAAGGCATTCTAGACTCGCCCAATATTTCTAGATTTGAGTTGGACTCCGTTTAATGTATTCTCATTGGTCTTGGAGAGAGACTACGATACTTACCCTTTCTTAGGAAATACATCCACAGGCCTTTTTAGGCCGTTTTTAGTTTGCATCCCAGAAATCCTTCGAAAACATGTTATTATATTCATTATTTGTACAAATACATACAATATGCTTGGTAATGTAATAGTAAATATAAGTGCCATGTGATTTCGAAAGCAATAGGAACTCAAGACAACATGTAAGTTCATCCATTAATTTCGAACTGAACGCATTTATGTGGGCGTAAGTGACGCTGTGTGTGACCATATGTATTCTCAAGTGTGTTTTTTTCTTATTTTTGTGATTGTTCAACCTACATACAGCTATTGCGTACTTTCTTTAGGCGTGTGACATTTTCTATAAAAAGAGACCACAATGTCGGGCAAGGCAGCTCACACATTCCAGGCCAACGTACATACGCTGTTGGCAAATTGGAGTGAAAGCCTCTTATTTCCTTCACTTACGTAACCTTGCCAAGTCTATTTAACTAACTTAAGAGAACCCCATTTACGGACCAGGTTCAAGGAAAGGTGGCACACTTTTATGAGGTTCCTTTTTAACACGTTAGCGCTTTATATGGCACTCTGCCACAATGTAGCTATTAGTTACCTTCTACGTCAGGCGACTGTCGCTAATGCAGTCTATAAGAACTATCTATGATCTATTGGGTAACAGTGTTGGTTTCAACTGGATTCATAATTAACTGCTTTTCAAACCTTTTTCACATAAGTTGTTTAAAATCCATTTGTAAACTTTGGGAATTTACCCGAGAATATTTCAAGTCATCCAGTGGTCGAAGAAGAACGGAATTTCTCTGTAGATATTTCCGTAACATCGATTTCAGATTAAATACAATTACATGCTCTACAGATTGCTTAGAAAGTACTTAACTCTCGTATAAATAGACACACTTTTACTGAAATCGATAAGCATTCTTTTATCAACTTGTACACGAATTAACCAAATTTCAGGTTTATAGATGTTCATTTCCTATAAAACAGTATTTCCTATTTAATTAGCATTAAACATATTAATACAACAAAAGGTAAGGCGTAGAGAAGGTGTAACAGTGTTGATGATACAAAACGGATTTCCCAGTAGAAAAATATTTGCTTTCATACTTGTACTTTAGATACATGATATTTTATTGTGTAATGGGACAACGCTGATTAAGAACATAACATCATAAACTATAGTTTAATGCTTACAAAGAAGAAAATGTATTCAAATTTCAAACAATTACTTGTTGTCATTGCGTTGCGTTACATAAACCAATGATTTACGATATTAGAATAAAGTTGAAGAAGTATCTGTGGAAATAAAATGACAGTTTATTGTTGAAGTCTAGGACTTCAGTGAAAAAGGAATTTGATTTTATGCTGGCTAAATCTTTTCCATTTTACATGTAACATAAGCTATAGCTACATGTTTCAAACACGCTCACAGTGTAATGATGGAACGTGTTCACCATTCGGGATAGTTATGCCTGAGGGTGAGCGTTGGCACCATCCACAAAGCTACGTTACTTAATCAATGTCCAACCTTGTATGTATAACGTGGGAATATTTCTTACTGACAGTTGCCCAGGGACATTCCTTGGTAATTGGTTGCATATTTCTGTAGAAGGAAGATCGCCAGGAACATGTCTTATTAAGAGCATTATAGAGTACAAAGCCGAAACATTCACGATGATGAGTAAACTTTTCAAACGATACAGAAATACATGATAAGTACACACATGCAGTTGTTGCACCAGTCAGCTGTCCCACGATTGGTGAAGTCTATAGACATGTTCCTTTTCAGAAGATGAATTGCGAGATTGGCACACAGTAGCAAGCAGTTACAGTAACAATGTCCTGCGGCATGTGTAATCCACCACATGGTTATATACGGAGATGTTTCTTGCGTCAGTAAGGAAGTATTTTGCTCAAATACATTGTTCTTATGACACATAGAAAGAATGATACTGGTGTTGAGTTAGTTGCAATTGAATGTATCGCCTTTAATCAGTTCGAAATGGCTAAAACATAAGTACAGTACAATAATAGAATGTAGTCTTGACTCACAACATAAAAAAGTAATATATACATAACCAACAGGTAAGGGAGTAAGAAGATAAGAAATTATATTTGTATGAGTACTGTATCATTGTATTGAGCAAATACGTCTGTACTGCTACCCCCTTGTTAGGGGAGTCGTAGACAAAAGATATACGTGGCACTATGTTCACATTGTCCATTGTCCATTGCTCAAGGATGCCTTTTGGTTAGGATTAACTGTGTTTTTCATAGAAATGTGTTATGATATTATGTACGTTTTGGCGCATCTGTCATGGTCTTTACTGGCGACGAGCAGTTGCAAATGAAGAATCGTTCCATTTTGATCATTCTGAATTTGTCATTATTTAAGATACATATTTCAAAGTCTCACATTCCACACTGTGTGTACCTGTATTTTATAGCCATCAGTAAATTACTTCAAAGCATCTCCTTGTGAAAAAATCACAATATCTAGAATGATGTCCCCAAAGTTTCAATCGTGTCATCTTCAGATAGCGGCGAGCCATTCGGCAGTTCGTCCGCTAACACAAGGATCGGGGACCTTGTACATTCCACGCCCATATTCCTGTCCCATTTCATTTGAGCTTCCACAATTTCATTGGCTGGTCTTTCATGTACACGTGCACGTTTGGTCACGTGAGGAGATTTAGGACTCTCATCTTGTACTGGGGTTTGCGGCCTTTTAAACGTCGTTGTAACGATGGTTTCTTTCCGTGAGATCCGCGATGTTAAGAGTGATGTCAAAGAGCCCATGCGTTTGAATTTCTCCCTTGTGCCCATTTTCTCCAGTTCGATAGTGGATCGGTTTTTGAGGCTATTGTCAGTGTTGGAATTGGTGTATGTGTGATTTCTTTGATCAGACATACAGCTTGAGTTGTAACATGGAGACAGATATTTGATGAGGTTCCCGCTGAAGGCCAGGTAAATCCATGGGTTGCAGCAGCTGTTCAGGCTTGCCAGGAGCAGCATGATCACAATACTGTTGTCTGAAACGAGAAACAAGAGGGTTACAATCGCCCGTATTCGCTAACATAATAATGTCATGGCAGTTACTGTGATTCACTGATCTGTCATGCCCGAGGCAAAAGGCCCTCACTATTTCCTCATTAAATACCATTTGGTTGAAATAATCACTATTTTCATCTATTTTCTCGACATGATCTTCTCCCGTTCCTACTATAACTTATTACTTTCGGTTTTTTTAAAGTCTGTTCGCTCACAATTTCGTCTTGTTGAAATTACAGATTGGTTGTATACACATAGTCCCTTCTCGCCTCCACGCCATGTCACGCCACGCCACGCCACGCCACGACATGACCGACACGACATGCTAAGACACGCCACGCCACGACACGACACGACATGCTAAGACACGCCACGACACGACACGCTAAGACACGCCATGCCACGACACGACATGACATGACCGACACGACACGACACGACACGACACAGTGATTTTCCCTTACTCTCAAGATATAGCTGAAGGATGATTGATGCTGACGATGGATTTCTTTTGACGACTTATATGTGCAACAATCCTAACTATTTTATATTTTGTGAGTAACTACAGCTGCCATGTTGGGACTTTTACGCTTTCATAATAACAGTTTACAGCGAGAACAAGCTGTGTACAAACTTTCATTATTTCTCGGGGCAACGATAGTTCGCTCCGATAGTATTCTAAATGGAGTATCAAGCCAACTATTGATTGACCATAACTATGATATTTCATCATACTAAACTGAAACAAAAGTCTATTTATAAATCTGAGACACGTCATATTACAGACTACCGTTAAAAACAGATGTCGTAAAACACCAGCTTACTGCAGGATGTTAATAACGTAGTCCAGGGGGCAATCCGTGGTGGACCAGCGTGACAAAACAGGACCACTTGGCTCAGGTTATAGGACATGCCATCAATGTAGGAATGCGCTCATATAACCGATGTCGCAGCCTTAATTGATGTTCAATACGCCTGCTCCGCATGGTCGTCAGTACCATCGTAGTTAACCCCTTACAACTGGGAGACTTTAAAAATATAGTTAAAACTATTCAAAAGGTTATGACCGTACATCATGGACTGATCCAAATACGACCCTGCAGAGATTCGTATTAGTCCACACTGTTGGTGTCCAATGATTACATTGGCTGATGAGGATGAACAGGATCATCGCGTTTCGTACCATGAAAGACCAAATATCAGTAATAGGCTGATTGTGTATCTCACCAACGTGGCCTGGTAAACACACATTTGTCAGTAATAAGTGTGATCACCTCACGAAAGTTACCTCTTACCAAGTTGGTTCATGTATAATACATTCAACAACTTCTTGTATTGGTCGTTATCTACTGCCTTTTACTGATACATCCCACACATTCTTCCTTTCCCTGCCAATTATCCAAAGACTCATTGCATTTCCTCACACAGAATTCAGGACATCATAGTGCCACCATGACGTTCCACCTGCACATACAATACTACATATACCGTCATTCCACCCATCTAACACCAGCCTATCCATCTGTTCTGTGGCTACTCTGGGCAACCCAAAATCAGCCTATCCACCGTCTATGTTGTTACTGTGGGTCATCTAACATTACCCCATCCACCTGCGCCCTGGCTACCTTGGGTCATATAACATTACCCCCATCCACCTGCTCCGTGGCTACCTTGGGTCATATAACTTTAACCCATCCACCTGGTCCATGGCTACCTTGGGTCATATAACATTACCCCATCCACCTGCCCCGTGGCTACCTTGGGCTATATAACATTCCCCCATCCACCTGCTCTGTGGCTACCTTGGGTCATATAACATTACCACATCCACCTGCTCCGTGGCTACCTTGGGCCATATAACACTAACCCATCCACCTGCTCTGTGGCTACCTTGGGTCATATAACATTAACCCATCCACCTGCTCCGTGGCTACCTTGGGTCATATAACATTAACCCATCCACCTGCTCCGTGGCTACTTTGGGCCATATAACATTAACCCATCCACCTGCTCCGTGGCTACCTTGGGTCATATAACATTAACCCATCAACATGTGCCGTGGCTACCTTGGTCATATAACATTACCCCATCCACCTGCTCCGTCGCTACCTTGGGTCATATAACATTACCCCATCCACCTGCTCCGTGGCTACCTTGGGTCATATAACATTAACCCATCAACATGTGCCGTGGCTACCTTGGGTCATGTAACACTAACCCATCAACCTGTTCCGTGACTACCTTTGTCATATAACATTAACACATCAACCTGCTACAGTCTGTGGCTACCTTGGGACATATAACATTACCCCATCAGCCTGCTTTGTGGCTACCGTGGGCCTTAGACATTGGCCCACTCAGCTGCTCTGTGGCTATTGCTGCTCATCTACCATCAACCCATCCACCTACCCTGTTGCTTGTCCCCCCATTAATATCAGCCGCTAACCTGCTCAACTAGACCTCTTATGTTACTGTGTTTGATGTGGTAACATCCTGTTCAAAACAACGTAAAGCCCAACCCACTTACTATCATGCTGTACAGCGGCCCCAACATGTAGTCTTACGACCAATTATTATTATGTTTCTTGACTGAACATTAACCGGTCGAGTTTATGCCACTGCCTCCATGCACACTTATTTCACACGAGTACAAACACACTGAGTAACATAGATCGTAAGTTCGTTTACTGATATATTTTACACCTCTGATCAGCATCAACTGTATGTTGTTGAAGCCCACTACCATACATCATCCCGTGATAATTATTCAAGTGCACTACAAATACCAACGCAGCAATCGAAGATTGCCGACATTGACTTTCCAACAGTATGCCAGTCAGGCATCATGTGCAGCTCTTCCTTTCTTTGAAGACCCGTTCGTTGTTTCACATCAACAACTTTCTCTGTGATCTGTCATTTATCTTCAGAATTTGGCGAAGATAATCTTTATTCATGTTGTACACTTTAGGGTTTCTGCTAACAAAAACTATTACTAGTGCTTGCTAATGTGCCCGGTCACTTTATATTAGTCATCTCCCCAGAGGTAACAGTTCAGGTAACAGTGAGTTAATAGCTGAATTCGCTCATAATGGCAACTTGATCACAAAACATTAATTACTGCTGAAATGTCTTTTAAGAATTTAAGAGTAAATGGTAAATCAGATTTACAAATACAGTAGAAAACAACAGTTTGAGTGAGTGAGTGAGCATGGTTTTACGCCGCTTTTAGCAATATTCCAGCAATATCACGGGGGTAACAACAGTTTGAAATATGAAGTTGTTTTATTATCGTTAAACAGTATAAGCATAAAAAATGAACACAATTAATTGGAAGTACCCAACAAATCCCATTTGTCTGCAATCTACATAATTTCTTCCAAGCCTCCGTGCTCTGAACCTATATTACAGATATCGATACCTTCATTAATTTAGTAACAGAAATCTCCCCGATTCTGCAGCTGAGCAGACCAAACGGTCTGTATTAATATGGCCATTAGGGGTCATTAGCCCACTTATGCCGGCCGTTATATCAGAAGGTGAGGCCGAAGGTGGGAAATGAAAACCGGGGACATTTTATTGGACGTGACAATCAGGCAGCGTGCAGCCACTAAGACAAAACAGCGTCTTTAATCGAGCGAAATGCCTCGTCTGATGAACCTACATAGTGGGCATCTCAAAATACTGTTACGATCAGGAGAGAAAGCCATCAAACCTTCAGTCAACTGAAATGATTTTCTAGATTAACTCCGTCTGAACAATATAAATCCCTCTCCCAAAAGATTGGCATCTGTCAGTACCCCCTACTACCTGTCAGCGTTTACAGATGTACAAAATATGTCTCCAATGAAAGACTAGTCTAGATTCATCACCTGTGAAGTCTAAGACATGACGTATACCTGTAAATACTTCCGGTGCTGACTGTGGCGGACCGAAATAGCATTGACCAGTTTTCGTATTTACAGAAGGTCAATCATTGTTTCAACTCAGTTCCATGACACAGTTGTTCTGTGGAGAAACGTGTCGTGTGTGTAATGGTATATTTTCAGGCCGCCTTGTGTCGATATGTTAAATGGTTACCTCTCAAACAAGTGTGGGCACGTGTTATTAAGTCTTTCGAAGCTCAAAATACTGCATCGCCTAAATATCATTGTGTTTTTTTTTCAATAAATCCTACTGTTTTTTATGGTGGCAAGATACTTTAAAGTTAATGTATGTTTTATGAATAATTACACTGTTACTCAATAGCGTCAAGGAAGACAGTGCGCAATACAACTAAGATTCATCAAACATCTGTAACTAAGTAAGTTCGCTTAAAGGGCCCTTCAATGTCAAAGGAACAATTATGAATTCCGTTCCATTGCATCACGATTTTGCGTGCCTTGAGCTGATTACATACTGCATGATTTAATCAAAATAACTGGAGGAGAAACAACAGGCGGAGTAATGTGACACCAATTGAATAAAACGCTTTCTGAAACTGCCAAATGGTTAAAGGGCGTGGAAGAAACGTGTGTCTAAGTGGCATTGTTATTAACATACCATTTAGAATGTCCAAGAGAAGGAAAGGTGCGATGTTATCAGTTGCTTCACTGCGTGCACATTCAATAAGGATGATAGCTAATTACTGCTTCTGTCGCTTTGTGAATTATATTTTTTCTTGATCACGCCTAAACCTGTATGGCACTTTCAGTTGGATGGCACTGAGACAAAGGTACGACTGTCAGTGACAAAGTATATTTCAACTACAGCCTCATGTGACTGAATATATAGGGTATGGAAGGTATCCTGACTATATGGACATTTCGTAAATATGATCTTTGCGGGACACGTTATCTGTCGTCTGTTGTGAGATATCAGGGTAACTCCTTCATTAACAGAAACCTATTAATAAGAAATGTAAATATGGAAATGTACACATGCTTTTAAAACGTTTAACGGAATAATAGAAGAACACGATAGAGAAAAGCTGCAAAGACCTAAT